AAGTCGAGTGCGGGGCGCATCCCTCAGATGGGATTGATTAACGCCCAAAACTTTATCCTTTTATCCTTTTCATGTGGTTATCCGCAGCAGTCATGTAATTTCCCATTGTTGTAGCTTTAATAAAATCAAAGAGTCAGGAATATTGTCGTGACATACACTGCTGTCCAGACCTCTTTTGTATTTATACCTAGATTTCTACAATCATTGGACTGGCATTATATCACCTTTACGTTGAACAAAATGAAATTTGAGAGAAAATGTACAACTTCGAAAAGTAATTTTGCTTATACATAATACAGTAAGATATGCTTATCATAAAATCAGGTCTCGCAGAAATCAATGAGAACAGTGAGCGGCAGTACATTCACATGCAAAAGAAATACACCGCAAATAGTGGAACAGAGATATGGGAGTGTGCCATGCACCTGTCTTTTAGATTCTTTCGGATTTTGTAAGGTGCAATGGATCACAGAGCTGGCCCTTAAGGAAGTGAGTTTATAAGGAGGACATGACATTAAGCGCTCAAAACAACTATCTATGACTAAGTGGTCTAGTTAGGACGCGAAGGGTTCCAGAAATGGCGAGCCTCAATCAGGGAATCGTCATCATATGACAAAATAGGATACAATACAATAAATCAATAAATCCTACATTGATAGGGTATTTATGGATCAAATAACATTAGAAAACACTAATGAGCCTATAAATACAAAGGCGGCTCCAAAGAAATGAAACACGTTGAAGGGATTCCCAAAAGCAACAAAGGAGACGAACAGAGAAAGGAATTTCCGAAGAGTGATCACCATAGTAACATTCAACGACGTAGTCAATGCAGTGAGTCGGTAGACGTTTTTGATGCAGATATATCTGTAAAAAACATTCCTGAGCAGTAGGAAGAGAAGACAGGTGGGCGTTCAAACCGTCCACTCATCTGAATGTTTGTTTTGTCGGGTTTTTGCGGAATGTGCCATGCGTCCGGCTTTTTTTAAAATCAGTGGACTCATTGGAATGTATGCTTGGTCTTTGCAAGTCGATAAGAAAAAAGTGCGCTTCAGTGCTTAGAATGTTGCCTTAGAACTATGCTCGCATAGAGTGACTGTTGGCACCCCTTCCCGCTTTAGCCCATGTCTTATTGGTGGGTGCCGTGCTCCACAATTAAGGGTAACATGAGCCTAGCTTGAAAATCGATTACTGATTGTACCAGCCTATCTCCATAATGGGCAGGCATTCATTGCTTTCATGTAAGCCTCATTCGGGGACACTGCGAAAAAGGCAGGGCACGGGCATGAAAGTGGACCACAGGCCGATGCGAACACCAAGTGGGGCCCATGAAATGAGTTTAGATGGGGCGGTGGGCCTCTCCGTTCTCCACATTCATGGCATTTTTTCAGAAAGAGTAAGCAAAATGAAAAAAAGAAGCAAATGAGAAACTTGCTGCAATACACATATCCCTAAAATATAGCTCCAAGCTTTGGGTAATAGCAGATCATAGCCAAGGATGTTCAAGGGAGGTGTGCGACTTGCACCATCAAAAGCTTTGACGATCTCAGGTCCAAGGAGTGCGTATCCAGGAATGGAAAGCAGGTGCTGAAACACTCGATTATATTAAAGATGATTGAAAAAATTGCCTCCACAAAATGGACCGATTTGAAGATTCATCCTTGATCCCTTATTACTCCCGTCTTCACATAATGGTGCCCTGCCTTAAAAGAGGCGGTACAAACAAGCAAGACGTGGTTGGCTTAACATATCCCGCCCAAAAGCGTGACCATCGAATTTAGATGAATCACTGAATGGGAAAATGGACCTAACTATGGTCATCAAACAGAATATTGACCCTATTCACTCGTCGTAATTGGCCCACTCTTGTGATTGCAGAAGAAACGCCCTCAAAAAAGCCTCATATAAGCTATTTCTTGTTTGAACAGTAGGCCTTTCTCACGTGTGGCACATTTGACATCGGTACTTCTGAAGGCAGAAGTCGTCTGAAGCGTTTGGACGAAACATCAACGCCCGTATTTTTGATTGGAGATGCAAATAGTGAGCCAATTATAGGTCTATGTAGGTGGCTTAATAACCCCGCCCACACGCCTGGCCGAGTTCTCATTGGAAAAAGTGGTTTTCAACGGTTTCACCATATCTTACGAGGGAGTAAGGATGATACTCACCACCATGAACATGGATTCTTTGGCATGTTTACCATAGGTTCTATACATATCCTCTTGGCAAACTCCTAGATACGCGCTAAGCATCAGCGCAGCAGTGAGGAGGAAAATGCCTGAATGAATAATTTTGATTTAAGAAAAGTTTTTTTAGAATTCCGAGGGAAAGTAAGAAATTACCCA